TGCAGTCTGGCGTTTTTCCTCTTTGTCGCCATCTCTGTTCAAAATCTGCAATTGCAGTCATTCGCGGAATTATCAACTTTACGTGGGTTGCACTTCAACATCCTCGACAAGGCACAGCGCAGATGAACACAATGTTTGAGGAAAGTATGAGGCTGTTAGTCGACGCGCCGATGTGGATACTGGCATTCAGATTCTCAGATTATTCTTTTTGGAAGTATGACCAACATAAGACTTTTCACTGGAAAATATCATCTGAACTAGTAAGAAACATCCACTTTTTTCTGGTTCTGACATTGCAGTAAATCCCACTGATTAAATTTAACAATCGCTTATCATATCACGCAAAACTGTGCAAATTATACTTTGTTCTCAAATTGTTAATGTTAACAACGCATTGTGTGACTACATGTAATGTCCTTCCGATATGCATCCTTGTTTTCGCATGGGCCAGTTGCAGTCTCTTTTTTTTTTTCTGTAACCACTCCAATGTCCGAACAAAGTCTTCTGCATTTTACAGTGGGTGAATCCGTTGTCACTGGTGATTGGAAGATGGTGATCGAGCTAAGGCAAGCAGATCCTTTTGAACACTGGCTCGTTATGCATTTTCTCAAATATGTATTTTGGATAATTTTTAACCCAAAAAAGCTACAGACTGCAGCTTTAAAACAATCTTCCACGGAACTACTATGGAGTAATAAATAACAAAAGTACAAAAGCTATCATTTCTAGTCACAGTAATAACCTGGTTAAGAGTCGTGTTGAGTGGAAGAGGAGGTGTAGATCTCTGGCCCATGGACTGCATTCCCATATGATTCCCAAATGGATTCATGCCTGCAAATCACAGAGCAGAAAGGAGACATAATACATCTGTACATATATACTACCATTCAAAAAGTATTTTATGCTTACCAATGCTGAATTTGATAAAAAAAAAAAAAAAAAAAAAATATATATATATATATATAGTAAAACAGTAATATTGTAAAACAGGGGTCTTCAACGTTTTTCAGGGCATTGGCCTCTTAGGCAATAGAGACATGGAGCAGGAACCCCTGATACAAAATGTGTCAAATAGATCTACTTTCAGCATGTAATTGGCCATTGGTCAGCATAGCAGCATAAAAAAACAATACTTGTATTCAACGGATTATAGCTATATAGCCTTGAAAGCGTGAAAGAGCGCTCACTTTACAATCACTAAAAAGCTGTCACTCATCTCAGTTTGCAATCTCACAACTTTTCTTTGAAAATCAATAAAGTTGTCTATACACACTGCATGATTCTCTTACATCATCTCTTTGTTTTATAATGAGAGGTTTTGCGAGAGCGAACAGAACTCCGCACTTGAAAAAAAAAACTGCATTTAATTAAATTTCTTTTAAAAAAAAGAAAAAATTACTGACACAAAATAAAATGTATATAATCTCAGTAAACATACAAATGTGTGTGTGTGTGTGTGTGTGTGTATAAATAAATAATGTGTGCATGCGCCTATGTGAGATATACACACCAGCAGCATTCTGCATCCTGTTCATCATCTGGTTTGGACCAGCAGGCCGCACCATCGAATGATCTGAGAGAGGACCATCTACAGATAGAGGGGCAAAACAAAAAAAAATAAACAAGTCTATGAAATCACTTAATCGCAGTTTTCTTTTGTTCTGTTGACATTATGTCCTATTAGGGCCGGAAAATCGAAAGGCTCGTCAGTGAAGGAGACAAAAAACTTAATTTGTCATGATGCTTTGTACTATTTTCATTTTACAAAGTTTTAACTGTATGCAGCAACACTTTAGTTGTCCTAAAACAAGAACGGGTATTGTTCAAAATTCATGTATAACTTTGATGAAAGGTTTTGATCCACTTCGGTATTTTAAAGCAATACTATTTAGTTAGTTAATTTTTATTTTAGTTTTAGTTTAAATGATTAAACTGTAAGTAGCCTACTCCAGCTACTTATTACCTGAGATTATTAAATTATATTAAAGTTATTAAAACAAATATACAGATTTAACTGATATATTATTTATCATTCACATAAGGAATGCAACATGCGTCAGATAAATGTATCTAGATAAATGTTGACAGTGATTAAAGGCTATACTAAAACTACACTAAACATATTCACCCAACACCAATTTGTTTAATGCACAGATCTATTTTGAAACTTGATATTCTGTTAATCTTCCCAATTTCATGAGTGACTCACAAAATTTAGAGGTTTAAAGACGAGACTTCCTCCGTATGACGTCAAACGGAGGAGATTCAAGATTAGTCCATCTGAGCTTTCATTTTCTCAATGGAAGAGAAAGATAGCCAAAGCTCAGTTTTCACAGATTGAAATTTCTAGCCACTGGGGGACCATTTACAGTCTAGGGGAACTCATATTAATGTTAAAAAAAAATTATGACAGGGGACCTTTAAGTCCAAAGGCTCACAAATTTAGAAAAATATGGATAAAATATCATGTTTACATCACATTTCTTTAGAAAGAGTGAGCATTTCTTTTAATTTTCCAAAATATTAAGTGATCTGAGGAGGTTTGAGTGATCTCTGCCATCTCCCTATAACTGTTATCCTTTCAGTCAGCTCAAAAGAGAAGAAAACAGGAGTTATACGAGTTAAACAGATACAGATGCATGCGAATGAGGAAACGCAACTGACCCTGGCACGCACTAGCACACTCACTATTTACTTTTCTGTTTGAATTAGTTTTCTAAAGAATGAATGCTAATAATGTTTTGATTAGAGCCAGACCGATATCGGCCGGCCGATATTAGGCATTTTCCATAATATCGGTATCGGCAGTTATAATGGCTGATAAATGAATATTTAAAAAATAAAATAAAAATGGACGAAACACGCTTTAATCATCTCTCCTTGGCCTGTTATATTGAAAATGTATGTTTTACCATTTGCAGGATGATGTTATCTATTGCTAAATTATGGCTCATCATAGACTAGCTAACCACAAAGCAAGCTAATGCCACTATCATCCGTGGAAGACTGCTAACGTTAACATTAATGAGCTTGGAAACCACAATGAACTTTCTCTGCCTAAATAAAGTAATTATAACTAGCATATCTCTAGTTACGGTCCCTGCATTGTAAAATGTAAGTTATAATTGCGAGGAGTGAACATTTAGACATAGAGAAAAAGTATCAAACGTATCTTGTGCAGAAAAGTTTGGTTTTCTTTTACACGTGTGTGAAATCCAACAATATTTAATAAAAAAAAAATATCGGCCGATATATCGGAATATCGGATTTTAAAACCCCAAAATATTTGTATCGGTATCGGCCTTCAAATCGGCCTTTATCGGTCGGGCTCTAGTTTTGAGTACTAGATTTGGTTATCTAATTTGATTTTAAAAATTTTATTTTTCTTGTAATCTCCACTGGAACGGTTGACTGCTACTGGTAAGAAGGAGCTGTGATGCGTCCAACCCATAACTTATACAAATCTATGGTTTTAGCTCTACTATAGGAGGGGCACCTTTCATGGACGAGTACTCACTAGTAGGCAGTCCTGTGGGTGGCCCTGGTTGACCAATCCCAGTGGGCATCATGCCCTGCTTCTGTAACCGCGTCCTTCGCTTCTCTTCCAGTTCCTTTTGGATCTTATAGATCTTCTCTGCCAGCAGGTGATAATACTCCGCCTGAGAAGTGTGATAGTGACTTATAAACCAGTGATTATGATAAAAGACAAATCATTAACAGACATGATCAGTTCATGACCTGTTCAGACATGAACAAGACAATGTACTCACCCTGCTGTTAGCAGACTCATACATATCCCCCTCGACTTTACGCGCATAGGCCACTAGATTCTCCATCCGCCGGTCCTTCAGTGCAGCTGGGTCTGGGGTGGGAAAAATGGCTTGGACTCTGAAGAAAGAGGACAACAGAAAGTGACACCGAAATGTTAACCATATTAATCAAAAGCCTTGGTCGGTGGTTATATTGAATAAATAACTAATTAAGTACTTGTTTTAAAGATCTTCCACTATAAAAGGTGACTAATAAAAAAAAAGACAAATGATACTGCAACTTTCAGAATTTTCACAAACCAGTGTACAACTTACAGTTTGTGGACCAGGTGGTTGCGTAGATCCTGGGTTATGTCCTCATGCCAATTCTTCCTCATGCCAGCACTGGCCGCTGGGTTGGCCATAGGCATACACCCCACACCACCCACAGCATTGTCATTCATCAGACTAGTGAAAGGTGATAGAAACAAATAACGACCACTCTATGTTTGAATATGAACTTATTAAAACTGTACACGCCTGCTACAGCGGATTAGTGTTACTGTGAGATTTTAAGACTCTCTGAACGTAAGGACAGAATGCTGATTAGTTACGCGAGGTGTACCGAAGGGTTTGTTTACCTCTGTGAGTTCATGTTCAGATGCAGCATTGTATCCTGGAGAAGGTTAGATTGCTGATTCTGAGACTGACCACCCACGGCCCCATTTACTCCCATGGAATTCGCTCCTGTAACAAGAAAGGTCATGAGAAGAGACACTTACACTACAAGTCTAATAGAAAATTGGGGTTGGTGATATTTTATATTTTAAAAAGAAGTCTCACTAAGGCATTATTTGATCAAAAATACAGTAAAAATGAAATAAATAATATTACAATTTAAAATAACTGTTTATCAATTTTCAGTCTTCAGTGTCACGTGATTCTTCAGAAATAAATCTAATATTAATGATTTGATTGAAGTAATATCAATAATTGTAATATTATAAAATGTCGTAACTTTCACTTTTGATCAATGTGTCCCCCCAAAAAAGACCCCAAACTCATAGTTCAAATAAAATCTGAAACCTCTGTCATTACCCATGCTGTTCATTGCCCGTTGTGTTTGTTGGACAGGCTGAGGGGAAGCCTGGTTTCCCTGGTATGTTAGGCCCAGGGCCGCGTAAGCCCTCTCGATGGAGCTGGGGTCTATCTGCCCTTGGGTATTGAGATTGGAGGCACTGGGCGAACCACCAGTTACATTACCCAAAGAAGAACTTAACCCCACACTTGCAGTGCCTAGCAGAGCTGAAGCCATGTAAAGAAAGCAGAAATAAACCGAAAAAAGAGACAGTTACCATAGAGTCTAACTGTTGCAATGTCCAATTCTGCAACATTAAGGACAATGAAAATATTCTAATAGCCATGTTACTACAAAGCAACAAAGTAAATTTCTATGTTTGTATAGATTCAAAAAATGGTGTTTCATACATCTCAACCCATCAAACACTCACTCTGTTGATTCCTCTTGTCTCCTGCATTTTTCAAAGGTAGACATACAGGGCAGTCATGCCGCGTGCAGTTCTTCCAGTGAGAGATTATCTGTCTGGAAGAGGCACAGTGCGCCACTAAAAAGCAATAAAAACACAAACCCAATATTAGTAAGCGTCATGTTGTTTAAATAGGCAGAACAACAGAAACAAAAGAGTCGCGCTGTTTCAGTTCTGTGCAGTTTATACACTCACCTTGGCAAGATTTGCCAGCCTGGCAGTGCGTCATGTGGTTGAGGACGTTCTTCATGGTGCGACAGTGGGGCAGGTTACACTGCCGTACTTCCCCGTTGGCCTGATCCCTCCGCTGGCACTTGTGGGCATGGAGCAAAAGCACCAGCTGCTGCTGTATGAGTTTGCGTTTTTCAGGATCAGCCGCAGGAGGAACACCTCCCACCGCTGCTGCAGACACGGCTGATGCACCTGATCCGGGGCCGAGAGTTCCTTGGGCGTTAGGCACCATGCCGCCTGCCCCCGTGCCTCCGGCAGCGCCCGCTGGGGAGAGCTGAGTAGCCTGCTGTGAAAATCCCAATTGAACACACATTAAGATGTCTTGTGATTGCTTAAAAAGGAAGAAGTCTAATGTCTGCATATAAGGCTCTGAACGAATACAAACCATGCCAGGTATGCCCTGCATAGGCTGGGGTTTCTTGTCAAGGTTAAACTGGGCCGGACTGTTGGACAGACCTACTTTGTTCTGGAGCTGAGGGGCCAGCCCTGCAACACCCAGACCCTGACTGGCAGGCTGACCATATGGGCCTCCATAGGGGCCTGAACCTGCATTCATCCCCATCTGCAACACACAGAGAGAGGGAGATGACAACACTTTTCCAAAAAAAGAAAAACCTGTGGATGAATGTAGTAGAAAAACACTGACAGAATTGCGGAATATAGTTATGATACAAATGGAAGTTACTGTGTGACGCAGAAGGTCACATAATTTAGCTAAATTTGAGTGAATAACTTAAGAGTAGGGCTGTAAACTTAATCTAATTGTGATATGAACTAGTCTTTGTTAATAGTAAACCGCTACTTAAATATGAAGTAGGCCTATGCATGTTGTTCGGCATGTCTTTGCTCTTGGTGTGATACTTAAGTGCACGTGACACTTGTGGCATTTTAACGTGTGCTTTCTTTCTATAGGAGGATGCTTTATATGAACTTCATCTCTGGAGCTGCTCTGAAATGTTACTTTTCAGCATTTCACCATTTCATTTGAAGAAAAAAACAACAACTATATTGTCAGATATACATAGGCCTGTCTCAATAAATCAATTAATTTTACAATAAAAAAAATTAGCTTGACAAATTTTCCGGCCGTGATCATTTCCATTTGCTCTCTCTCTCTCTCTCTGGATGACAACAGTTAGCGTAGGAGGAGTGAACTAGAGCTTAGATTCTCTGCCCGAGCCCGAACTTGAGCCGACCCGCCTGATATTTTCCGACACTATCCTCTGGCTGGGCCGGCCCCTGGATCTAGATTCTAGACCATAGACTGTAAAATTGATATTTTAGATGTAAATCTCAGAACGACAATATTATAGATTATCGCAAAAATTTCTTGGACAATTTATCGGCCAGCAAAATTTGTTATCGTGACAGGCCTACATTTGTACAAAGCAATTCAGAGGCCTTAACTACAACAACCCATCATAACAAAGGTTGGTTTAACTTGACTTTACAGTAAAATGTAACTATTGGCGCTTTTCCATTAACAGTACCAGCTCGACTTGACTCGCTTTTTGCTCCATTTCCCATTGCAGACAGTACCGCCACAAATAGTACCCGGCCGTCACAGCAACGCCTTTCGTTCCTCGTTACCCTGTCAAGCTCTCGCTGGAACCTCTCTTCGGCAACCAAACAAAGGAAAGTCTGCACCTCCTCATTTGACCACAGCGTATTCTTCCGAGTTGCCATAATAATAGTAGTAAGTTTAGTCACTATCTCTGGCCAAACTATTTAAAAATTTTGGATACTCCATCTGGCGCATGCAATGATGTGAATGGTGACGACTCTCTCTGACCAATCAGCAGTCAGCATTGTTTTCACGTCACATTTTAGTACCTCGCCTTAGCTCGCTCAGAACCTATTTCTATTTATTTATGCAAAATAATTATAATTATAATAATATTTATATACCCACACATATATATGTGTGTATGTGTGGGTGTATTTATATATAATATAATATAATATAATATAATATAATATAATATAATATAATATAATATAATAAATACATACTATCACCACCCAATATTCTCATCTTTGATCACTATTTAGGGTTTGATTTTTTTTTTCCTTTTACAAAACACTACTGCTCCCCAGAAAGAAAGAAATATATTCCTTCACAGCGGAAGTCCAGATAATAGTTTTTTTGGAATAGTTATAATAAATGTAAATCAAAATGTTCAAATAATTTTGGAGAGCCGAATTACAAAAACAAGTGTCTCATCATTAAAAGCCATATGCCTAGTACTTCAACATAAACAAACAATACAGTTTGAACCAGTGCAGGTTTTAAGATTAATTTTACACTCCTATGGCCAACTTTGTTTATAAAAGAAATATTTCCTTGCAAATAAATAAAATAATGCAAACAACTTATTGGACATCATTACTTGCGAATAAATAATGCAATTATTTTAATTAAACCATATTGTTGATAAAAAATAAGAGAAAAATAAAAAATATAATATAATATAAATAATATTACTGCTTAAAAATAAAAACAGCATTGCTGTTTGAGCTGCGTGAACTGAAGCTGAAGAGTTGAATGAACACCAGGCAACCGAAGCGATTTGGTGGCGAGTTAATTAACTCAATGAAATGCATACTTATATTATTAATTATTATATATTACAAATTATATCTGCACAAAATGCACAATTGAAATTGACCTAAGTTACGTGCTAGTCAGAATGTGAATTTCCTGTTGTGGATTCGTTCTTCCCGTTAACAACGCGCTGAACACGGCAACCAAACCCGAAGAATTCACAGCATTTTATTACAATAAGTGTTCTCTTTCTAATGTTACGTAATATGACATTCCTAATCATAGCTATTAATGTCATATTTCAACTTACAATTGCTCAAAACAAAAGGCTCAGAATAGACAAGCGAACTTGACTATGCTAGTCATGAAGGCGTAACTCCGTTGTGCATGCGCTCTTCCTGAAACAACGAGGTAAAACACGGGCGTACAAAGAATTCACAACATTCTTTTACAGGAAAAATGATTTACAGACCAAAAACAATAACATTAAAATTAATAAATCAGCCAATACTGATACGGTGATGGCTGATATATTATGCATCAATTGTATTAAATATATTGTCCCAATACTAATAACATGATAAAGATATATTGTGCATACCTAATAACTTAACAGAAACGTTACAACATGGCCAAATTAAAAGCATTTTCTTAAGGTGTGCACGACACTTCAGGCCAATGTTGATGATGATGTCATTACCTTGTTCATTGCTCCAGGTTGCTGTGCCCTCAGTCCACCCTGGCCTCCTACTGTCTGCTGCTGCTGAAGAGCCTCTGCTAACAGGTTACTGTTGCTGCCCATGCCCGGGTTGTGATGTCCTATTCTGGGCGATCCGTTCATCATCTGTGCTCCCAGCATATTTTGCTGCTGCGGTACGGGCCCTCCAGGCTGCTGCTGTCCATTGCCTTTCAGAGATCCGAGCATATTCCTGTTCATGTTGCCCACCATCCCTGCCATCTGCTGCTGTTGCATAAGGGCAGCCTGTTGTGGGGAAAGATGTTGCTGCCCTTGGGGGCCCATGCCCTGGGTACCCGGAGAAGCCTTCAAATTCCCAAAAAGTCCCATTGAGGCTCCTGCTGGGCCGCCCATCGCACCCTGCTGCGGTCCTGCAGGTGCGGGTCCGTGCCGAAGGAGTTCCGACAGCTGCCTGTGCTTGGCCGCTGCATCCTGGCCACTGGACACAACTCCTCCAATGGCCCCGCCCCCACTACCCAAACTGCCATGCAACTGGCCAAGGTCCCCTCCATTTTCTAGACTCAGCTCTGAGGAACTGATCAGCTCGTCTGGAAGGTCATGCTCCAGGTCAAAAAGCGAGCCAAAATCTACAGCAGGAAATGAGAAATTAAAAGCGAGATTAATAATGGGAGAATATTGTGTTAGATTTTTGGTCCTGGGGCCGGATTCACGAAACATTCTTAAGAATACATTTCTTCTTAACTGCTTTTTACTTAAGTTAGAAAATAAGAATATTTTGCATTTCCAAAATGTGACTGGTTCATTCTGGCTAGAACTATCGAGGCAGCACATACAGATACAGGACTCAATCACTCAAGAAAGACGGAGCGCAAACGAATAGGGAAAGAGACAGGCTCTTTTAAAAAAACTGCTTTAAAAAAAACACAGCACATTAAAAAAAAAAAAACACTACACTGAGTGATTAAAGCCCGTCAAGCCAGTCGAGACGAAAATGGTCTGCATGCTTATTATGATAAGCAAGTTTTTTTTCCGCAAGTTTTCAGCACTACAAACCTTTCAATCAACTAACACCAAAGCGTGTCATTTTCTTCTTAAGAAAAAAAATTGATATTCTAATTCTAACATAAATATTTTTCAAGAATTGGAGTTTGAACATTCTTACAACCTTGATTTTCATGAATCATCTGGCCCTTGGTCTCTCTACAGATTCACAGTCTGAGAATAATATGTCAAACTCTTTGACATCTCTGGGGCTGGTTGCATAAACCTCTAATACTAGTTTTTTTTTGTTGTTTTTTTAAGACATCACATTTTTTTCTTTAAGACTTGTTTAAACCAGTTACATAAAAATGTAGATTAGCCTAATTTGATACCTAAGACTGACTGACTGACTGACTGACTGACTGAAGCACAATAAAAACCTTGAAAGCAAACCAGAATTTTTAAAGTACCAGCTTGAGCATTTAAAGTGGCAGACAACAACTGCAGTGCACACTTATTAGAAGCAGAATGTTATCATGCATTGGTGTGGACACTATATAATCGTTCGTCATAGTCATCTTTATAGTTACTGTTCCTGGTTCTAGAGTGCATGAACATGGAACATGGGCAGCTGAAATGGATAAAAATGGTCTCCAACAATTCTCCCATCAGAAGAATTTTTACATGGTAATTTTTCATTTAATATAAGATCAAAGAGAACATTGTGAACACTTTCTTGTTCACAAGCTGTTTTACTGATATCTTTCAGCAGTTGAAACATCGATTGAGCGTGAGCGATTACATGAGACATGATGCATTTCGGTAAGTTGTACTGTATTTTTCAACAGATCTTTTAATGTTCATGCAAGTTTTTTCATGGTATAACTTGTATTAAAGTGAAAGAATAGACTCGCGCTGCCGCTTGTCACATCATTCACTACATAAATCACATCACATTTAAGAGAGTCAAAACGCCATTTATTGATTGAATTTTGTTATAAAATATAGGGCTGCTTGAATGACAGAAATCATAATCACGATTATTTGTTAATTTAAAAATGACGATTATTTACCACGAATATTGGTGAGTGATATGATCAAAATCTTATTTCATATGAGTGAGATTTCACAATTATCGATACTTCAGCAAACAGTCAGCAATAAGAACGAATAAACTAATTACAATCAAGACTGACAAATCAAATACAGCACTTTAAGTTTTTCAGCAAGACGTACTAACAATGGTATTCAGATAAACAATAAATTAATAAAATTGAAAATAATATTGTTGTATACTACATTAAATATAGACTAAGGGTATCATGATTTAGATTTTAAATCGAAATTAATTCACAATCTCAAACTTAGATTTAAAAAATGGAATCGTCGATGCTGCCACGCCCCCATGTCACATCCGTTTGGCTTGCCAAGCGAAAAAAAAGAACACGCGTGTTGAAGTCCATGATCAACCTCCTCTAACTTAGCTAGAGCCATTCAAAAGATAGCATGGCAACTGCATATTCAGGAGACCCATCAGCAGAATTTGAACCCCCTCCTCTTTAATTGAAGTCGCAGGTGTGGAAGTATTTTGGATTTCCAGTAAGTTATGTTGACAACGTTCACGCTTCAATAAAGCCACAGTTTGCACTTTGCAGACATCCCAAGTCTCGCGGAAGTCCCGGGAGTCTCCCGCATATTGATAGCGGCTCCCTGATGCACGCAAATCAGTTAAAATCTCCCGGAATCTAGAGTGAGTGAGCGAGCAAGAGCGAGCGTGCATGCCGAGACAAAAAAAAAACAACCTGTGCTCCAAACCTGTGCTCCTTGAAAGCTGAGACTTTGTTTCTTATCAATAATTTTTTTTTTTAAATCACACAGCTCTTTGCGATTATTAGATAGAAGACGTGCTACAATTAATGTTTGGTGTAGGGAAAAATCAGCTTGAACTGTCTTGAACTACAGATGTTTCATAGGGTCAACTAGAGCCTGCTTTAACATCGCTATTTTTAAAACTGTTAATGCATTATTGTCACGTTGAACAATTCAACAAGATTCCACCTCCGTTCTATTGACAGGATATAAATCGGCCATGATCATCGACTGCTTTAATCGGCCGATAGCTATATCGGTGCATCCCTATTAATGACTTACGGTTCAATGGCAGGCTGTGGTTTGACAGGGAGCCAAACAAAGATGAGATGTTGTTGAATTATGATGTGAGGTATAAATGTAGTCACTATTTAGATTCTAGTTCTTTTAGGAAGTACTGCAATCACCATTTGTATCCATTCAAAAGTAAAAAAAAAAAAAAAAAAAAAAAAAACGAAACAGCATTTAATTTCCTAACATACATGTATGAAAAACATAGAATTGTCTCCTCGAACAAATCAACCATTGGTAAACGGGTGAAAATGGTCAATTTGCCCATGAAATTGTGCTGGTCTGAAGATGAAGTGCAGATTGCAGAAGCTTTGATAGAGACGACACATTCACTCCACAGACAAAACAATTTGACGCCAAGAATACTGTGTATGAAAAACGTAAGACTCTGGTGCATTTGCATTTGTCCAACTTAATAAACTCCATTAAGTGTCAGAACCGGATCAAACTCGATTTTGAACAAAAGGTTGAAAACATGAGACATCAACAAAGGGAACGTAGTTCGCTTTTGAAGATACGTGCAAGTATAATAACTCGAAGCTTTACCATCTAATAAGAAACAACAAGACGCCTACATAACAATTCACATAGTCTAGCATTAACGTTAAATGTTTTATGTTTTATTTTTAAGAGACAGGTTCGTCAGTTTTGTTATGGCTGAACAATGGAAATCAAGATCCGAAAAAAATGACCGACGCACGAAGGGCTATTTGAGCCAGCAAGCGAACTCACTAAAACACAACACAAGTACATTTGTATCCTCCAAATCACACAATCGTTAAGTCAAATCAAGCTCCATAAACGAGTTCATGAATTCATCTAAACCCACTGAAAAAGCCTCAGGACCTTAAAATAATGAGGAATGAGTTAATATGCATCTAGCCAACAATGGCAGGGAGTTGTTGTGTGGGCCTTCAGCATCAGACTGTTATTAGCTGACCAGCTAGCTATCCAATATTAATCACATTTATTAACGTTAAAGAGAACAGAAGATTATGTTGATGAAACCGCAATAAGTTGTGCTCGTTACACAAGGGCAGTTGTGAAAACAACAGTGTTTGAGTGCAGTCAGAAAGTTTTCAAGTTGATTGACTCAGTTTAGCAGGCTAATTCGTGGTAAACGCTGTCGATTATTAGTAAATAATGAAACATTGATGAAATGTCAAGACACCTTTCAGAAGCCATTTGTCTACTTATTGTTACAATTTTGTGTATAAAACTTAGTACATTGTAATTATAAAAGAAGAACTGGTCGAAACTCTTTGCGAGTGAGAACCAAACCGAAACTGATAATTCACTGAAAACAAACAACAAATCCCACTACTGTTGTTGCCACCGTAGAACTATTGTGTTTTTCCATTGCACCCGTTAGTTTTACATTTACACCAGTTGACACTAAGCACAGACCCAGGCTGAGGGACAGCGTGTGCTGGTCTGCCGCTGTGAGTGAATCCCAACAGCGATCGGAGAAGCGTTAATGCTAACCTAGCTGGAATGACAAGCTAAAGCTAAGTCTCGTGCGGATACGACGTCGTTAGCTTCCCAAACTAGCCTGAGCCTTGCTAGCCCGTGACAAAACTAAGAGGGAAAAAACATTCCCCGCTTAAACGCATTGAGTGTGCAACGGTACATAAAAAACTAACAATCAATGATTAAAATATCTCGGTATCGTGAAAATAAAACAAAATAAATATTTACCGTTTCCATCGCTGGCTGAGGCAGATAGTGCCGGGGAGGACAGTTTAGGCCTCTTGGCTGAAGGCGGGCCAGAGTCCAGAACGTTCTCGGCCATATTTTTTAACGAATTAAAATATATAACCTCCGAGATAGGCGCGTAAGCCTATTCGTAATCCTCGATTTTAAAAATATCGCTTTTAAAAATATGACATTTCCCCCTCCTTTTTAGGGACGAAGGGGGGGAAAGTCCCGTGTACAAAATACTCCTCTTTCCTGGGTTCGCCTCTCGATTTCAGCTTCAGCGTATCAACCCCCCTCCCCAGTCCGATTTTTGTTCTTTATACAATTCTGCAAGCGGAGGAGGAGGTAGGGGGAGTCGGCTCGGCAAGAAAGGATAAAAAAGACACTCGCAGCGGCTCTACAAGAACTCATCTAGTCCCGTCAAGAGTTACAGGATTGCGCGATGATGTATTTGAAATAATTTGCTCGTCTGCCATATCTTTTCGCAACAGAGGTGTGTTTTGTAGAGTGAGTCGGATGAGGTTGTCACTATCAAATGGAAGTTAAATTGTGTCAATAAGTGAATTTTAATTTTCACAGATGTCAGTTGTTATTTTAGTTCCGGCAATGTTTTCATTACAGACTTTTTATCTTATTAGAATAAATTTGTTATGACAATTTCAAAAATCACAAAAAAAAAAAAAAAAAAATCAAATAGATTTACATTGATTGTTGGTCTTAACAGTTATTAAATCCAAAGGCTTGAAACAAGCTTCTTTAAAAAGAAATAACCAACAATATTCCAGTTTGATTAGTGTTTTAACTTATTATGCAAAAAATGAAGCCAAGAACTGATTTAAGAATGAGCCTATATTTTGATTTGATTAATTGATTCAAGAATTGCATTGAAATGTTGAAAATAAAACAGCACCTTATTCTGTAACAACATTCTTCTATGTATCATTCAATCTGTCTTTCAAGAATTTGTTCATTTTTAGTCACACAAGAACCCTCTGGGGGCGATGAACGCACCTATTAAATATTATGGCCCGGTTTCACAGACAGGGCTTAGATTAAGCCAGGATTAGACCTTAGTTTTTATAAACATGCCTTAGGAAAATTACTAGTTTGCATCTTGATACAAAACAATGGCACTGACATATGCTCAAACATGCATTTTAGTCTGGGACTAGTCTTAAGCCTCTGTGAAACCGGGGGCAAATATTTAAGGCCTACTCGTCTTTTAAATTGAGGTTGTTGTACCCAGTTGAATGACAGCTATGATACCTAAATTGTGTTGAAAAAATACGATCATTATTATGACTATAATTCTTATAAACAGATTGCCATTTTAAATTATTGAAATTCATTAAAATGACTTTCTATCAGTCTTTGTAGGAAGAACTGAATGTCTTATTGCTTTTGATTTATCATTGGCTAGCAATAATACAGCAGGCATATTTTATCCTCATAATATTTGTCTATACTTTAACTTTACCAAAGAATTGAAAGTGATTTAGAGAGATTTGGCGTGAAAAGGCTCCCCAATGCTCTATTTTATAAAAGTGATTTGTCAATAACAAATGTTTTAAGACATTTAAGACAAAATGAAGCAAATTCAGTCAATCCAGAGCAATTACAATTTGTATCAATATATTAGAAAGGAAGAAGTGGTATGGGCCTAAAAATGTCCATGCCTAAAAATAGACAAATCACCTTTTGGGAACTTTTCTGACAATTATTCCAGGACAGTTATGCAAAGTCCCAAATTATATCACAGTGCCTCTGAGTTTGGCAATCTATGATTCAAATAATATTTTTATTTTATTTGATGACCCCACTTTATGCATCTTGGCAGTCTTTATTCTTGCTCTTTTAAGGTAAGTTACTTTTCAAGGTTATGGTTTCCTTAAACAGCACACCCACGGCTGACCCAATGTTCATTCACTGACTGATGCGTACTGCACACAAAAATGGAAAGAATTTGATGGCCAAAAGACGTTTGATCAAAAAACTTCACATAAAACGTACTGTTTCAATTTAAAACAGCCATGAAATCAAAGTAGTTCTTGTTTTTTATGGAATATTGCAGAATTTATGATAAGCCAAATATGATTTATCTGTGGACATTATTATTATTTTAATCCATGAGCCCTAGTAATCTTCAATCAAAATTACTTCCCCTCCCATCCCAGTTGTGCACTTTCATCATGGTGGGACAACCTGTCACTCACATGAGATCATAGAAAAATCACATTGACTCAAATGGTCAAAATCAAGCCCCACACAAAATTTGTTCTTGTCAGAGGCGACACTGGCAATGAACCCAAACTCTTATCAGAGCAGAATGGAGAAAAAAAAAAACTTGGGAGTTTTCCCATTCTCCTCCAACGAATAAACACGTGTGATTATGATTCAGGGTGCATCACAAGTTAGAAATCAGATTTTGGTTCGGTAGCATTCAAATATTTTGTTCAGTTCCTTTTGTTTGAAGATCGGATTCATCAGGCTGGTATGGAGCCGAAGCTGGCCGTATGGTCTGTGCGGAGGACCTGTCTGGTTCTTGTAGTTTTTGCTGAGGATCTGTGCCGATGGCTGTCATGTCGACGAGGCCTTCACAGGTTGATAGGATCTCTGCTTACAAAGGAAACATTCAAGTTAGTTAATTTCCTGCCATTTTGAAAACTTGTGTGAGCATGCAGCTGGGAATAAACTGTAATTGAATAAGGAATTGTACCTTTTCACATATAGAAGTGTAATGTTAATCTACATCATTGCTGATGCAGTTCAGCTGAGTAGAAAGGAGGAGCTGCATATATATACAGGTACAGATTCTATAGCTTGTCATACTGAATTTGTAGAAGTATAATTTTAAGTATAGTCTATACTTTTTTTAAATAACAAATTCACATTATATCACTAATAAGATGGGAAATGAGGAAGAAAACAAGAATTTACGCTTACAGTTAGTTTGCTGGTGTTGTGGAGAAAGTCGTCTATTTCTTGCAAATGAAGCTAAAGAGGCAAAGTTCTAGAAGTCAAAATAAGACTTTATTGAACAAAGCCGTAACTTATCTGTTATGTCGCAATAACCAAGTGACTTTATTTTCTGGTAAGATTCACCCCTCCTGTTTCCCACAATTATGTTTTACTTATCTCGGCTTTCTCTGTCTAATTGTGGAATACCAATTGATGGTCAACCCTTTCTCAGAGGCAAGAAAACATTATGTAAAATTTTCCAAGGACAATCAACTCTTTCCCAGAGGCAATAAGCCTCCAAGTGACATTTATTTCACACCTCTAATAGTCTTTCACAGCCATCTGTTGTTTAATACAAATTCCCAGACTTTGCAAAAACTGTTCAGTGGGCCATAGACTTTCTCAGATACATTTGACTTGTAATAATTATTTCTTACAGTCATAGGCCATTGGAGGCCCTCAAAACACATCTAGCCCATAGTTATTCAAAACTATTTTTTTCTTCAATTGTTTTCTATAGAATATAGGATAAATGAAATATTTAATCACTGGTGAACTTTCAGCAAAATTTGCTAGGCTATTTGACGGCTGCTTAAAACAGTAAACAAAAAAAACTAACAAAAAAGAATTTATCAGTACAAAATTTGTAACTAAGCATTGTGAAACGAACAATACAATAAACCTTACTTGATTTGTTTTTACCTCTCAAAAACGGAAAAGACAGGTTCCACCGAGATTTGAACTCGGATCGCTGGATTCAGAGTCCAGAGTGCTAACCATTACACCATGGAACCATACACTTCCATTTGAATACTAGTGTATATGAATATGTTAATATTATAAACCTAAATACACACAAATACAATAAAAACATATAAATTGTTCACTGTGTGTTTAATATTTTTTTTACTAATCACCGTATGACAAACAACCAGCTTATGAAATCAGACATATGTAAAGCCATTTTGGAAGATAATATCTAGTTCTCCAGTCCGGAAGATGGCGCTAATGCACTAGCTGCTATTCACAATTTTCTAACTTGTTAAGGATTTTCCAAGAGGCGAAGTAGGTAAGAAATGCTTTCTTTTACACACAACAATGTTAATAGAATTGCTCTGAATCTTCGTCTGTGTTAGTCATATTTTACGATTTATATACAGAACTCTCCAATGTTCTTCAAAGCTTTGTTTATTTGCTTGCAACATTGAATGAGTGCAAGAAACAGTAAACCAATGTGGTAGGCTATAATGTTATTATCTGTTGGATTGCTTCTTAAACGTTATTCGCAGTCAACCTTTGGAGCAAGCTGCACACTGCATTCCTGAAGACGCTGAGGACCTCTATAAAATTTACAAATGCCCAACAAATGCGTTGCTTATGGTTGTGGTAAGATCAGCGGGCAGAATGTCTCGATGTTCAGATTTCCCAAAGACCCCGTGGAGTTCCGCAAATGGGAGAAACAGGTCCAGAAGACCCGCAAAACTTGGGTCGCCAAGACGTACTCCCATTTATGCTCTGAGCACTTCAGCAGGGACTGCTTTGACCCGAAGTCTTATGCCGTTGCAAAAACAATGGGATTCAAAGGGCTGAAACTGAGGGAGGGAGCTGTCCCGACTGTTTTTATCCGACCACCGTGCAGTACGAGAAGGAAACCCAGAGAACCTCAACAGTTTGCTTCAGTGAGTGTCTGATTCCTCTTTGTTTAGTTTGTAGAATCTTTGAAAAAGCCTGATGGTGGGAGACATGAATAGTACAGGTCAAATTTTTGTAATAATAAAGATTTTCAGCAAGGCTACATTTATTTAATCAACAAAACAATACAAACAGCAATATTGTGAAACATTATTACAATATTAAATAACTATTTTATATTTTCATAGGTCTTAACTTAACATGTACATTCCTGGGCAACAAATTTTACCAGATAAACAATAAATCCACTGGTCAGCAATCAAAAGTTAGCAAGAATTGCACAAATACTGATAAAGTAATTTAGTAACGTTACAAGTTTGTTTTCTTTAAATGTTTAAGCTGTGTGGATAAACTTACACAATCTGCCAAAAACTGAATTATGTCTTTGATGTTTTTCTGAAACAGCAATGGCTTTTCAATGAGGGCATTTGCTTAAAGGTAGGTTAGGCAATTTTCGGAGGCTAGCAATATCGGGCTAGCTTTGAACACATGCTTCAGGGAGCACACAAAAGCCTGATGGCTTTAAACTACCTCATCTCTCAAAGCACATCGCATTAAAAATTGCAATAATAATGAACAAAAATCAACTTAAAGAGCACTGACCTGTACCACCAGACTGCTGCAGATTCATTTCAGTGTTTATAGTGTATTGTTGCCATTGCCGTGTATATAATTTGATAAAAATATAACACAATTTGATTAATGAATAATTAACTTTGCTCTTTCAAAATGATGAACAGGACGAGACATTTATGGATTACAATCAGAACGATGGAGAAGAGCAAATATTTGATGGAGCAGACCACAGTCAGCCGATTTCCAGCGATGACGGAGTAAATAATCATGTGACACTTTCCTCTCCGGCAGAAAATGATGGAATAGGTGATTCAGAAACCCCAATATTAACGAACTCGCATGAGTACCACGTAAAAGTATATGTAAACCCCGCTCAATTTCATGTTTTTTTGCAGTTAAATGTGAAATGTGTGGAACCAGTGGCACTACAAACACCTTCTTCTCCAGGTCCAAGCGCTTCTGCAGTTTGTCCTGCTCACGTTCATACTCATCCTGCTCCAGAAAAGCGTCAATTCTTGCACGCCTCCGGGTGGGATTTCCTGTCATAGAATTATATACGTACATTGAGGAAAATAAGTTGAACACCCTGCTATTTTGCAAGTTCTCCCACTTAGAAATCATGGAGATCTAAGTGGGAGAACCAGAAATCATGAACTAGAAATCATGATTTCTAAGTGGGAGAACTTTCAAAATAGCAGGGTGTTCAAATACTTATTTTCCTCACTGTATTTATTGTGTGTGTATCTTTGCATTTAGGGAAGGCCGCCCAAAAAGAAGTCATCACACAAACTGTGTCTGAAATCACAGACCGAGGCTCTACAGTCAAATGCCAATGAGCAGCATCAGGAGAGCAGAGCATTTGGACAAGATGGTAAGAAAACACACAAATCCCTCTTGCTTTTTACTACAGTGAGCTTTACAAATGTAATTTTGACTGTTTTAAAGGGATAGTTCTGAAAATTACATAATTAATTACTCACCCGCATACTGTAACAAACCCGTAAAAACTTTGTTCATCTTCGGAACACAAATGAAGATATTTTTGATTAAATTTGACAGCTGTATCACTACCACATAGGCACCCTAAGGCAGTGGTTCCCAACCTTTTTTTGCCCGTGACCCCCTTTTTCCCAAGAAAATATTTTAGGGCCCCCCTTCACATTTAATGATATTATCGCTCTTGTAAGCTTGCAGCAAGGATAACAAAATGTGTTTTTTTTTTCAAACAAACGGTATGTTTATGCACAAATAATAGCCTATAATATTGAAAATACAATGACTAAAACATCAGTAGGCCCTTTGTAATTTAACAACGTAAGCCTAGGAGAAGCCTATTAGTTGGCCATATTTGAAATGCAAAAATAAAAATATTCACACTGGTGTTTAGATCAAAAAAAAAAGAATATCTGCTATTAAATGACTGTTGTCTGGGGCCTCAATACTTGCATGTTATCTGTGAGGCTTTATCAATGTGAGGCTTTATTTTTACACTTTTGGCGCTATAGCGAGCGATAATAAACTTGCATTTATTAACAGAATAATGCGTCTTTTGGAAAGAACAGTGTAGCCGGAAACTACTTCTCTCTGTGTACGTCTATGACGAGTCACGCCGGTACTGTAGTTCGCCGCAACGGCAGCGATCCGAACCAGTGTAAAATAGTAGCAATGTAAACACTTATTATAGGTGTACCATAGTGGTTCAGGATAAGACAAAAACACAGATTGGAAAATGGATTCATGATGAACTCACTCGTTATATAGATTTTGTCAATTTTGAACAGAAAAAAAGTTAAGGACTTTTATTTAATGCTCATTGCTCAAACTTTCAAAATATGCCCTAACCCCCCCCACAGAGCTCGCTGAGGCCCCCTTGTGGGCCGCGACCCCCCTGTTGGGAACCGATGCCCTAAGGGATTGAAACTTGACGGCCCAGAAAGTCATTGAAGAAAATGTTTAAATATTCCATGTGACTACAGTGGCTCAAGTATAAGTTTATCAAGCGACGAGAATACTTTTTGTGCGAAAAAAATAACGACTTTATTTGACTATTCCTTTTCTTCCCTCTGGGCCTGAGACGAGAGTTCAAGAGATTTCCACGACGCATGCACGAGAACTGAACAAGAAGTAGTAGAAAAATAACGTAGTTCTCGCGTATGCGTCGTGGAAATCTCTTGACTTGAACTCTCGTCTCAGAAAAGGAATAGTCAAATAAAGTTGTTACTTTTGTTTGTTTTTTCCGCACAAAAAGTATTCTCGTCGCTTGATAAACTTATAGTTGAGCCACTGTAGTCACATGGAATATTTAAACATTTTCTTCGATGACTTTCTGGGCCGTCAAGTTTCAATCCCTTAAGCAGCCTATGTGGTAGTGATACAGCTCTCCAATTTAATCAAAAATATCTTCATTTGTGTTCCGAAGATGAACGAAGGTTTTACTGGGTTGGTACAGCATGGGGTGAGTAATTAATGACTTAATTTTAATTTTTGGGTGAACTAACCCTTTAATGTTCATATTGCTCTGTCTTCCAAGCTACTTTGGCTGGATTTGAGTGGGGTAGTTACCTTGAGAAAAGTGGCTTCCTCGCTGCTCCTGTATCCTGCTTCAGACACGTGAGTTATTTCTATTTACCGAACTTCTCCTTCAGGAAATGAACCTGTGATGGATAAATGTGATAGATGTAGAAAACCATGATACATTACCTATATGTGTAAATTTCCTTCACATTATACTTATTGCATTATCATGGTGCATTATCACAGGCACCACTCTGCGCTCAATGGGATGACATCTATGTGGGGTTAAAAGTGGAGGTTTTGAACACCCATACAGCCTTGCCTAGTAAGGTGTACTGGATCGCCACTGTTGTACAGCTGACAGGTATATAAACTCTTGTGTTTCCTCCACCACAACTGAATACTAAGGCAAATAAACATTTTATTATTTTTATTTATATTAAAATATCAATATATTATATATTTTAAAATTAAACTACTTTTCAAAAGTTTGGGGTTGATAAGACTTTTGAAAGAAGTCTCTTATGCTTTTATCAACCAAGGCTTTTATTTCATCAAATATACAAAAAAAGTAATATTGTGAAAACTTTTTGAATTTGAAGATTAGGATAAAGTGTACTTATTTTGTCTTCTGGGAAACATGGAAGTAGCTTCTGAAGGGCAGTGCTAAAGGGGGAGGGGGGACGAGAGGACAAAAAGAACAAAATAAGACAAATCAAATCTTCATCCTGTTCAAAAGTTTTCACCCCTGGCTCTTAATGCATCGTGTTTACTTCTGGAGTATCAGTGATATTTATTTATTTTTTTTCTTCCACCTTTTGTAATAGTTGTGAATGAGTCCCTCAGTGTGAAAAGATGAATAATATATTTATAATTTATAGTTATTTTATTTGACCCAAATCTTTAGTTCTAGTCAGAATAGAATGTAACGAGTTTAACAGACTAGTAACCACCAACACCAAACCATAAAGAAACGATATTCATTAAACAATACAATATTCTTTCTGATAAAAAACAAAAAATATAGTGTAGTGTACTGTGATTCATAAACCAATGACTCCGGACAGGTTTTTGGAAGTTATTTGTAAATTGAAACCGAGAGGTTTTAATAGTTACACATTTACAGAGTAGTTTGAAATGTTATTTTACATTTTCTTTGTCGTATATTTTGTATGATGTGATGTGTTTCTCTCAGGCTATAAGGCTCTTCTGCGCTATGAGGGTTTTGAGGATGATGACAGGTTTGACCTGTGGTGTAACATAGGCACGGCTGATGTTCATCCTATAGGCTGGTGTGCAGTGAATAGCAAGCTCCTGGTCCCTCCTCAAGGTGAATGTTTACACCGTAGGTCATTAGGTAAAAATGCCATAAAAATGCTAAATCGTCCCCTTGGAATTATAAGGTTCTATCTGCGTTTTGAGATATTGTGCTTCAAAGTTTTTGCATTCCATATAGGAAAATGTGTATGAGGAACAAGTTTCTTTCAAACATAAAAATAACAGGGACCCTAAATGTACAAAACACATCACATAATGTAAATAAATTGTCACAGAATAAGAATATGTGAATAACTCAATTTTGACAAAAATGTCAGATAGAACCTGGGGGACGAAAAGGGGACCAAATCTTGACCCTTTTTTGTCCTACAGAGATCCATCACCATATTAAAGACTGGAAATCCTACCTGATGGAGAGACTAGTTGGAGCACACACACTTCCTGTTGACTTGCATGTCAAGGTGAAGGCAATTGGAAATTAGTAAACCATTGATGCCATCTGATTTCTTTAGTTTCTGCATAACTGTCTTCCTCTGTTATCCATCTGTATGCGTTTCAGATGGCAGACAGTTTGAGGTGTACGTTCAGACAGGGGGTTCGCGTGGAGGTGGTTGATCGCTCGCAGGTGTGCCGTACCCGTTTGGCAGTGGTGGATACTGTCATTGGAGGGCGACTCAGACTGCTGTATGAGGATGGGGGACTGGGACCCTCGGGCGAGGTGCTCTCAGATTTCTGGTGTCACACGCAGAGTCCTCTAGTACACCCTGTAGGCTGGTCTGAAAGAGTGGGGCACTCAATCAAGGAAACAGGTGAGAAGAAACTGGCATTGATGGATTGAGTCAAGCCTAGAGACCCACAGATAGACAAAATGCCAGTACAAACATTAAGAGTCTGAAAGCTTTACATGAGTTTGAAAAATACAGAGCTTCGAACAGGATGTTTGGAGGGAACATTTTTTTATATATTGATATTGTTCCATTAGAATTAAAAATAATTATTCAAATATTCTTTTTTTTGTTCTGCTGAACACAAAGGAAGATATTTGGAAGAATGTTTTAATCAAACAGATCTCATTCCCCATTGACTATCATAGTAGGAAAAAAATACATACTATGGTAGTCAATGGGGAATGAGATCTGTTTGATTAAAACATTCTTCCAAATATCTTCCTTTGTGTTCAGCAGAACAAATAAACACATAGAGGTTTGGAACAACATGAGGGTGAGTAAATACTGACAGAATTTACATTTTTGGGTGAACTAACCCTTTAAAAATGATAGCAATTCATGCAAAACTTTTACAGTATGCACATTCTTCCTTATGGATCAATTTTCTGTTCTGATCTCAACAGTTTTGAGTAGGCACCAATCAGAGGCTGCATTTTTATGATGTCATCATCTAGCCTTCTTACAGCTAAATTTTTGTATGGAACCCAAAAATGAAAAAAAAATGTGGAACAGAACTAAACAATTGTGTGAGATAAAATACCTCGTGATTTGTAATGATGTCATGCATGGTTTTTCTGACACAGATGTGAATGTCAACATGGGTAGCCATCCAGCATTTCGTAAAGTCCCTCAAAACAGTGTGCCAGATCAGTTTAAGAAGGTTAGTACGTATATCATTAACTAAAATATTGTTTAAAAAAAATAGATTTTGTGTTAATGTTAGTTTAAAAATCTTGTCATGTAATCATCTACCGTAGTATGTATAATTCCTTGCTTTATGCAAACAGTTGAGGACCGTTTATTTGGGAAATACGTTTTTTGAGGAAGGCATGAAACTTGAAGCAGTTGATCCTCTTAACCTTGGAAACATCTGCGTTGCATCAGTCCGTAAGGTACGACACGGCCACTATTTATTTATGACTTAAAATGAATATTGCACATTGCCTTGTTGAAAGTAATTGCACTGACCTGGCTAATCTTATTGCTCAGTTGTTGCTGGATGGATACATCATGGTAGGCATTGATGGTGTCGAGATCGGTGACGGTTCTGACTGGTTTTGCTACCATGCCAGCTCGCATGCCATTTTACCTGTTGGATATTGCGAGAGCAACGACATCCCTCTTACTCTACCTCCTGGTAATGTGCTCAACCGATTATTCCAGTGGTCTTCTTGCTACAAAAATCAATATTAAAGCCTATATTTGCAATTTCACACAGTGTTTGTTGACATGGTCTCCTTTCTCATCAGGTTATGATCATACTACTTTCACATGGGCAAAATATTTAGAAGAAACAGGAACTCTAGCTGCTCCACGAAGACTTTTCAACACGGTAAACCTTTTATTTTGACAATTGAGCCAGATAAAATGCGTTACTGCACCTGTAGGTTTAATGTTCTTTAAGGTGGTCTTGTGGTCCCTTCCTCGTACGTCTTTCCCAGGATTATGTAGGCCACGGCTTTACCCCAGGCATGAAGCTAGAGGCAGTGGACCTCATGGAGCCCCGGCTGGTGTGTGTGGCCACTGTCAGGCGCTGCGTAGGCCGGCTTCTCCTTCTCCACTTTGATGGCTGGGAGCCTGAGTTTGATCAGTGGGTAGACTGTCAGTCGCCTGAAATTTACCCTGTGGGCTGGTGTGAAATCACTGGCTACCAGCTGCAGCCACCCATCGGACCAGGTATATTATTGTAATTCTCACAGTATTCATACATGTACTCCAAAGGTTTTCATGTTATATTGTGCTCTCTGTGTAGAACCACCTCAGGGTCAGGAACGCCTGAACACAAGCAAAAAGCCAAAACCTTTTATGGGGAAAAGGAGTATGTTTTATTTCATTTTATTCTTAGTTCTTCTTTAAAAAAATAATTATTATTGAATGATAGACAGTTAAAGCACATGATGGTTACCTTTACATAAAATTCCCCTTGAGTAGATTTGCATTGTGTTGTCATTATCCTTCATTCATTCTCTTACTGTATTTGTCACTGTAGGACGAAGATTTGTAAAGAAAAACACAAATAAATGCATGTCTAAAACCCAGCCTACTCAGCGTAATCCAGAGACGAATCGACCACAAGAGGAACCAAACGTCACAAATCAACAACAAGAGGCTGGCAAACCCTTCGTCACAGCCCCCATCTTACAAATAAAGGCTGAACCTGAGGACGAAAGTATGTAGCATTTCATCTTAAAATATAAAACGTATTTATTTGGTAAATTTAGTAGTTCTGACATGGATTCCCTGTCTCCCTGTCTAACACAGTTATCGCAGTAAAAGTGAAGGTGGAGGAAATGGAAACCCCCATATTATCCAGTGAAGAAAGCACCAACCCAGCGGCCTTAACAATCTTCAAACAGGAAGACGTCTCGGTTTAACCCACCACCGGTGGTTCCCAGTGATCGCTACTTTATCACTGGTAGTTATATAATTAACCAAGCTGTTAGTGTAAAACTACAGGTGTAGTTGAGTGACATTATTTTTATACCGTGCACATTTTCTGAATCTTGTATTAAAATGACATAAGGTGTGTTAAGGCTTTTTCTGACTTTAATTCATTTTTCACAACAGAATTGAAGTTTACAGAGTTAAAATGTAGATGTTTGCAATACGGAATCATTCCGTAATATGGAAGATACTGAATTAAAATGACACATTTTAATTTATTATATATCTGCTCATATCATAAGCCTTTAAAGACTCATCATAAATGTTGAAAACAGAACATTTTTATAATAGCACGCAAGGTAAGATCAGTTTTTTAAGGGTTTTAAAGAGTATTAATATTATCATTTTTATTGACCAGCATTGTTGATCGCTTGTAAAGTAAAACTGCATTAAGCAGGTTTATTCTACATTTTAAACAGTCAAAAATAAACTAGCACCCTCACTGATGTAAATTGTGAGGTGATTAAATCAATAACGGCAGTGTAAATACAGCAGGATCACACTGACTTCCTTTTCTTCATGGTCCTTTTCTGCACTGTTTTAGGTTTTACACTTTTGCCTTTGGCTCTAACTATCTTAATGACTTTTGGAGGACTGATTAGAGCAGATTCAGTCTTTGTGGCCTTAGTTGGTTTGGGGTGCTGAGTAGGAGGCTTTTCCCCTGGGCAGCTCTTAAAAATATGGACGTCTTTGACCCTTTGACCTCTGAGTTCTGGAGGGTGGCCACAGGTGGCTCTGACTTTCAGATTCACCTGCTCAATCCACCTAGAAGCAGAAGGAACAATAGAAGGGTCATATGTATCATATTGAAGTAAAGGCCCGATATACACTGCCAGTCAAAAGTTTTGGATTGGAATTATTTTTAAATGTTTTTAAAAGAAGCCAAGACTGCATTTATTTGATTAAAAAATACAACAATAACAAAAACAGTAATATTGTGAAATAATATTACAATTTAAAGGTGCAATGTGTAGAAATGTTGAGTATCTATTAACAGAAATGCAATATGACAGAGACATTTGCATTGATGGGCGACCATAAAATCTCATTTTGTGAACAGGAACACATTTGAATTAAGCACCTAATTTGCACTTGTCTAAAGTAATTGGTTACATTTACAAAATAAGCCTACAATAGCAGAAGTAAGCCCTGCTGGTGAAATGAAGGTTTAAACACTCTCCAATAAGGCTTCAGTTGTTTAACTAGTTTACATGCAGTGAAAGTAGGCTACAATAAACCTTCTGCATTTACTCTTTTTAAGAATTAGCAATTAATAAACTACTAACAATTAACAAACGGCAAACTACTACTTCACTGCTGATTCCTGGTGGTTTAGAGGAGAATTACTCAGAGTCGCCCCCTGTCGTTTCACAGAATAGCACAACGGCAAGCGCGTCAAGTTTAAAAGCCTCGTCCGTTTGGAGATGTCTTATTTCTAAGCTGTTCTTTTGAACTTTCTATTCATCAAAGAATCCTGAATATTGATCATTTTTTAGCATCAAATCCACATATTAGAATTATTTCTGAAGGACCATGTGACACTAAATACTGGAGTAATGTTGGCTGAAAATTCAACTTTGATCACAGAAATAAATTATATTTTAAAATATATTAAAATAGAAAACAATTTTACTGTTGTTGTTTTTTGTTTTAAATCAAATAAATAGCCTTGGTGAGCAGAAGAGACTTCCTTTAAAGACATAAAAAAATCTTACCGATCCAAAACATTTGACTGGTAGCGTACTTCAAGCTTAATCGAAGAACTGCTGTGATGACATTTCCAACTAAATCAGGCTAAAACAAAGTTTGTTTGGAGTTTGTTTTGGGAGTTTGAAACAGCTTGCCAAAGCAAACTTTGCTCTGGCTGGTAAAAACCTTCAAACTACCATTGATTCATGGCGAATACATAATAGGTATGTGTGTGCTGGGGCTCCGACTTAAGTCAGTTGAGGACATAAGCAAGTAAAAACTAAGTCGAGAGCTGCTTTATTGCAGAAAATGAAGGTTTAGTTGAAAGCAACATTGACGCTGTTTTTTTTTCCATGTTTAATATTGTAAAGCAATATATAATGGACAGTGGTATATAAATAAACACGACGTGACTATAATGCCGAATTGCAGAGCTTGT